GGGGCACCCGGATACACAGGCATCATCATTCTTGTCTCCGCCCCTAGGCACACAACCCTGCTCCCAAACCTGTGTCCTGCCAACAACGCCAAATTATGTCACCTAGGCAACGCCGGAGCGGCAGAGCTCCAGCGTCACACAGGGGTTCACAACGACACAGGTGGGGAGCGAGGGTGCAAAACCAGAGGGACAGAGACACCAGAGAGCAGGGGGGGGGGGGGTGGACGGATGGACTATAATTTCTCAGCAATTAAAAACACATTTGTATTTGCAGACTAACTTTTACGTTGTGGTTTTAGAAGACAATACAGGTTTACTGATAGCATTTATGTGTTTACAATAACTTTTGTGTGTGTGTGTGGGGGGGGGGGGGCAGCTTTGTGTGAGGGGGATGTCTACAGCTGATAATCTTTACTTATTATTACAGTCATGTCTCCATATACAATATATGATATCCACAAGCACGTGATGATGTGTTTCAGCTGCTAACAGGCACCAGAATTAAAAGTGAAAATTGAACAAGTGTGAACGCTAACGCCATATCTTCAGCCATCGTCACCCCCGAGCTACACATGCAGGGAATTGTGTCCGACTTAAACGCCGGCTTTCAGCCTCTCCCCCTGCTGCTTCCGTCTGCTCTCGTCTGTTTTCCAGGCGAGGCGCAGCTCAACTCGAGCACGGCCATCCTCTTGTTTCACTCTGTTGCATCATCCCACCCACCAGGCGTGTAGAGTGCCATGATTGGCCCACAAAGCAGATAAAGCTCTGTGATTTGTTCACTAAGCAGATAGAGCACTATGATTGGCCCACCATTATGGACCAATCACAGCTCTTTATGTGTTTGAAACCCCTCTAGAGAGCTGTGATTGGCTAGCCAGAGTCCTGGTAGGAGCTGCGGAGGTTCCAATGGAGCATGCCTAGACCAAACTTTGCAAAGCAAGAATTTGGTCTAGTTCACTAGGCTACGTCGCCACCATATTGGATGGGTCTCTTCACTTTCCAAACACAGTGAGCAACTATGCCCGTTTTTTGTGCAGCCTACCGTCACAACAATTGGCGTAAAATTGAAAACAGATCACGTGGGATTACTAGTGACTTTTCTGACCTACCTGATGGAATTTTATATTTAAATTCCCTTATTTTAATTATGTTTATATTTTAATAAGGCTTGTGATCACAGGTGATTAGGCATAGCATTCTGGGACGTGCAGGGCCATGTTGGAAAGCTGATGAGTGCAAACACACCGTGAAACAAATAGTACTGTCACAGAGAAGAAGCGGATTCGGGTGAAAAAGTGTTAACATTATAAAATCCCCAAAAAAGGATGCGGAATATAAATGGATAGGTTAAACAAAGACGTCGGGGCTGGTATGTGGACAAAATCAGCATTATAAATTGTTTTTATCCACATGAAAGACCCAAGACTGGAGCACTGATGACATATTGTTGCCGCTGCAGTTCTGCATAACAAACATTTTCGGCTTTCTTGTTTGTGGTGTGAGCGGATGTAAACATCCGGATGAGAAGTAAACATTTTAGTTGCTGGTTTTTCTAGTAAAACAATTTGAATTATCATCTCACAGCAGAAGTGTAGCAGAAGTTGTGTTGTGTATCAGCACCCGCATTAGCTCACCAGCATGTGAGTGTAGCCTGTGTGTGTGTGTTTGTGTGTGTTTTGTGTGCATGCTGAGGTTGAAGGAAAGAAATGATGTATAAAAACCTACACCATCTGTAACTTACCAGAATGAAAATACTCCAGGAGGTTATGTTTAGTCGCCTTACAGCTGCGATCCAAGCGAGCCGACTACACTCTGTTAAGCTAGATAACTTGGTCTCCGTGGTTTTGCCTCTAAGCAGAACAGTTAGCTAGTTTTCCACCTTTATTCCACTGGCAATCACGTGTGTCACCCCACAACACATCAACGATTTAGCAAAGTTGTGTTAAATAACCGATCGACTGAATAAAAGATTAAATTAAGCTGCAAGAACGAGACTGAGCACGCGGTTTACAGTAGTAACTCCATCATGGCGGACGCGTCGGTGATGACATCACAATCACAAGCCCTATTATCATGCCATACCATGTGTCTGATTTTGTGAAAAAGCTTGATATAAAATGTGTATTTAGCTGGGTAAGCCCCTTCCTCGGTCGAAACAAATGCACTGGGGTGAATGGAGACCCATCTGGTGACCTTTAGCCCTCTGGAGGCAGGCGTTGCCGATTTGCAACGTTAAAACCTACCTGGTTACTCCACATACGTGTTTCATGAGCATTTTTTAACTCAGAAGTTCCCCTGAAGGACTTAGTTGTTAGTCCTTTTATCAAAACTTATTTTGAGCCTGAGAGGGTTAAATATCTGACTGGTGCTAACTAGGGCTGCAACAACGAATCGATAAATTCGATGAAAATCGATTACTAAAAGCGTTGGCAACGAATTGCGTCATCGATTCGTTGTGTCGCACAACTCTTCCAAAAGCGCCCCCCCTTCCCGCCCGCCGTTGCGCGCAGACCAGAGCAAGTCAGATCAGCGCGAGGGAGAGCCGCAGATCAGCGCGAGGGAGAGCCGCAGATCAGCGCGAGGAAGAGCCGGCAGATCAGCGCGAGGGAGAGCCGCAGATCAGCGCGAGGGAGAGCCGCAGATCAGCGCGAGGGAGAGCGGCAGATCAGCGCGAGGGAGAGCCGGCAGACTTGAGCTGCTGCGAACCGGTTCCGCATTGTTGCACAGCGATCCAGGCAGCTGCTTCCAGCGCACGGTCCATTCTCAAAGTGGCGCAACCAAAAAACTATAATTAGCACACGATCGTTCATGTCCGCACATGTTCTCTATTTTCTGTCTTATTTGTGCCTGAAGCGCGCTACTGCGGAGCTCATCACCTGTGCTGTGGTGATTTCACCTCACGCAGCATCGAAAACGCGCTCTGCGCTTTTCGGTCAGGAGATCCCTTTGATCTGCTCAAAAGTAACTGATGAGGTGAAAAGGTAAGAATCCAGGCAACAGATTTTCTGGAGAATTAAATTAAGAGGAGATGCAGGAAGATGAGAGACAGACAGGACAGGAAAATAGTTCAATAAAAACAAGAAAACAAAACAAAGTGTTGAAAAGTAAAATGTAGGTAGATTTATCTCCACTAAACGTTTTTACCAGTAAAAAACAATAAGTTATACACATGTCATATTTATACATCTGATACAATTCAGATCACCTTCAAAACTCAGTCACACACCCAGGGCCGTTTCAAGACATTTTGGGGGCCAAGGCAAAATGCCCCCCCCCCCCCCCCCCCCCCAATAACTGGGCTCCCCAGAAGCCTCTGTGTAATTCATGCCCTCTCCAGGAGTGTTAGTTATATGGTGTTTATAAAAGCCCCTCAGACATTACTGACATGCTCTAATATTATCAGATGAAAAACTAAATTATCAGACATGCTGTCTCATCTGCTTATTTTATAAACTTGCAAAAAGTAACAAAACCATTTGAAAGCCACTATTTGTGGATTCTCTGAAAGTTTCCATGGAGTTTGTGACAACTTATTTTTTCATTGATCCTATCGTCTAATCTCACAGCTGAAACAAGCATCCTTAATCATCTGTGCACAGGAAGCTTACAGATGCTGTAGTAAAACAAAAGGTATAATAATTTATTATTAATAAAACCTTGTTGCAGCACTAAAGCAGAAAAATTAGATTTTGCATTAAATATGCAAAATATTTACATATGAATTGTTTTAGAGCCCTTTAATTGGCAGAATCTGATATTAATTTAGTTCTTACAAAAAATGGGTCCCAACATGGTTTGTGTGGCGTTGCCATAGTGTGACGTCATAGGCACAGATCCCCTGTCCTCTTGTTTGGAAATGGAAATATGATCACCCTACATTAAACAAACTGTCCACCCGGGCTTTTGCACTGCACAGAGACGCTTCGCTGCCTACGACTGAACGTCAGTTGAGAGTCAGTCTCATGCAGACTGACCAATGAAGAGAGGGCCTCAAGTTAAGACCCTCTCCTCATTGGTCAGTCCACACGAGGTGGGTCAAAGGTTACTCTGGGCGGGTTACGTGTTGTCAGGCATTCAAGTATTGAGTATATTTACTGCATATTACAGTAAAATATTCTGTATGTGACCACATATGGTGATCCTTGGGTCGTGATGATGGAGCCCTTGAATATTGTTGCCCAGGGTACAACAAAGTGTTAATCTGGCCCTGGTTCCGCCGTCACATTCCCGCAGAAACTGGTTGATCACACCGGGGCCAGACTACTAGCATGTGGTTTTACAACCACAATGTCCTCGGAAGCAAAAACGCTTTTCAAAGGGAGGGAGGAGTCCTAACTGTTGCTGCAGGCGTGTTGTGTGAGAGTGCAGTTATATACTGGTTAATATATTTTTGGGTTCAGTTGCTTTCATGTGGCCTAATGTGAGTCTATTTGGGATCATTGGAATGATCAGCAGCATTTCTTGATGTGACTTTATGGCAGTTGCCCAGGGCATCATCGCAAGGAGGATGGCATTCATTTACTTTTGTTTTATTTGGTATTTTTTCAGTCATTTTTGGAAATAGTGATCAATTTTGATAAATTCACAGCCTATGTTTAATTACATTTAAAATAAATGTCAACAGATGAGATCAAACAAAACAGATGAGAATTGCCCTTAAGCTGTTTAACTTGGACCAAGCATTTTAGGTCACAGATAGATGTAGCTTAGGGTCTCTGTCTATACACCTTATAAGACAATTTAGGTGATGGCATGTTGTTTTTCTGCTATTGAACTGTTTTCTAATAATGTTGTGTTAAATAAAGTGAAGGAAGGAGAGAAATAACGTTTCCCTAGCAGTTTTTAAAAATTTCCCCATGTAATCCGATTAATCGATTAATCGTGTCGAGACCCCATCCGATTAATCGATTATCCAAATAATCGTTTGTTGCAGCCCTAGTGCTAACGCAGAAGTCAGTCACCAGCCCCATTTTATCCCACTAGCAACACTGCAGGACAACTACATATTATCAGTTTTTACTCTATCAGTATTTACATTAGACCATTTTACAGTAATATTACTTTAGATTTATGACACTTGAGTCACCAACACAAAACATATAAAAATAAAACTGCATCTGATTCATCGTTTACAGAGAAAGTTCAAATGTTCCGTTAGGAAGAGGTACGGGGCTTCCTGTTCCGCTTGGCTCGGCGTGTGCCCCGGAATCGGAAGAACTCAAAGTGTCTGCTCTGGTCCATGTTGGGGAAGGGGGGTGGGCCTGTGTGAAGCCTCTTGATGAAGTGGACCTCTCTCTGGTTCTCCCGAGTCCTGGAGGCTTTCATAGGCCTCCCTTTCCTGGTGAAAGCCACATACCAGCCGTCATACTTGGCATTCTGCAGGGCCGTGTAATTGTTCTCCAGAACTATCTCAGTGAAGATACAGTCTCTGCTGCGGCCTCTGGGCTGTGAGGAGACAGGACAGGTCTGTTAATGTCTCAAACTCTTTATTCATTCATGATAGAAAACAGGTAAACACAGATTATCATTGTTAGACTCCTGCTAGCTAATTGTTCCTAGAGAGAGTAAACTTTAATTTGACACTGTGTTCAAGTGCAACGGACAGTAGCACTGTTTCCCTGTTGCTGCATGTTCTGGTTCCTGTTGTCCTGGGCTCAGACATCAGGATGTCTGTATAAACAGTTATGTTTAATGTGTTAATTATGTGTTATAGTGGATTAGCTTCACGCCGTGGTTCTGCATCACCAGCCAGGTGAGGCGTGGAGGGCGACACAAACTCACTGTGAGGGCCACAAACGGCCCCTGAGCCACACCTTACACACACCTGCCCTAAAGCTGTGCTCAGCCACAGGTGGTTTATTCTTTTGAAACAAAACTCATCTGTTTCATGTTTCTTCTTATGAAAAGTCTTATTGTGGTGTTTTAAAATAAAAAAAAAAACTACTTTGGTTTTACTGAAGAAGTGAGTTTTCAGACAAATGTTCCTTCATGAAACCTTACTGAAACATCTAAATGCTGGCTTGTTTGGAGGTGGTTTCAGCAGCATATCACAATAACAGATGTCAGTTGGATGCATGAGAACTGGGCTGGGTCCAGAAGGACCTGGTGGCTGGTTCTGAAATGATAAACCATAAAAGACTAAGGCCAGGAGACCGTTCTGTTTGATGAGGATTACACTCTTCCTGACAGGTGGTGGTGATGCTCCAGCTCTAAAGATTTATTACAGAGCTGCTTGCCGACGGTCGTTATTTTATGGAAGATGAGACATTCTGATGCCAGGCTCAGATGGACCGTACCTTTCCCACCAGCTTCCCTTTGTGGTTCATACAGAGGTAGCGGCCACTTTCAGCTCCACGGATCCTTACACGACTTCCAAACGTGTCCGTCTCCACAAACAGGCGAGCTGCGGTCAGAAGCAGAGAGTGGATGAGCTGAAGGCAGGAAACCAGATCCAGGTTTCACCAACAGGGCTGCTGTCAGTTCCCCTTTCCCTTTGCCTTCTGTTGGCTATGATCACGTCGTAGGTGGTGTTGGTCGGATGGTGATTGTAATGAAACCCTGGATCTGAGGCAGACTGGAAATGCGTTAATGGCCCATTAAAGCAGTCAGTGGAAGACAGTGGAGCCCTGAGGTGTTACCTGTAAATATGAAGGAGCTGCTGAATGGGTTTAGGCCCTGTGTATTGGAGCTTTAGACACAAAGGACTCCTGCTAATCAGCCGCTAATTTGCCAGACGATGGTCTCATGGATACAGCAGGAGGCTGCATTAGCACACAGAGGTGAGAAGGGTTCACAGGTCGGAGGTGAAGCTGCTGCTCTGGCCTGAGGACATCTGTCCCCCAGCAGGACATTTGTCCCACTGCTGACAGACAGTCCCCTAAACTCCTCAGCAGGAACCAGCCTGCATTACAGCTGACTTGGAAAAAGCACTTCAGACTTTATTTATTCACTCTTGTTTTCTGCAGACCAGTAAACAACCCAGCAGAGCTCGGGCCCCCACTGGGAACCAGTCTGGCTGAATCATGCATTTCATTCTGAAGTTTGAATCAAATTTAAAGTTGTCTAACTCCCTTTTGGTGATGCTGATTATATTTAATTCATATTTGACTCACTCATCTTGTAAGCTGCACCAGAACCCTGAACCGTGTTATCTCTGGACCACACGACCATGGTCCTGCGGTTCTGGTCTGGGCTGAGCTCTTACCGAACAGGTCTCCGTCCTCCGCGGTGGCTGTGACCCGCTTCCCCTGGATCTGGACGTGCTTCCCGCTGGTGCGGCTGTAGAGCTGGTAGACCCGGACCTGCCGGCGGCTCAGCTGGTCCGTCACGGCGCCCTGCGTCCTCACATACTGGTTAAAATTAGGAGACGGGTGATTCTCCCCCTTTCATATGAAGGGAGAAATAAAATACATAAACGTGTCTCTAATCTGGACGAATGAACGCTTGATGATTGGTCTCCGAGCCGAACTGGACCGCAGCTTTCACCAAACTGATTCTGTTCGTTCTGACTCGGTTCTGTTGACAGACAGGATGGATCTGGTGTTTAGAGACAGGTGTTCTTACCTGAGCTTGGTACCACAGCACAAACAAGTGAACGGATCTGCAGATACAACAGCTCTGTTAAAACGGCGCAGTCGTTTGTGCGCACGGCGCGTGCGTCAGCAGACTTACAAGTAAAAACAGCGCTGGTTTATTCCATACATCCTCCTCCCTATTACACCCGAGTAGCACGGGGACTCATCAAGCAGCAGCTGGAGATGGCCATCCGCTCCACCCGGTTCAGAACTCCGATTCACCAAATACCTGATCCAGGTGAAGAACTCCTTCTAGGTCCAACAGCGCATCAGAACCGAACCCGTCCATCACAGGACGGCTGAGAGGTTCGTCTCTGCATCTCAGAGGAGGTCCAGGTCCCGGTTTCAAGCGCGCCTGCTTGGATTTAGTCCAGGTTGTCAGCGCGCGCCCTGATCCAGCTGCTGAAGTCCCTCCCTGAAGTCCTTCTCCCGAGGGTGGGACATCCAGGACTCTAATGGGTCTTTGACAGGGACTCAGCAGAACTCAAACCACCTCAGCCTCCCAACTCCAGGGCTGATTACTGCTGCAGAAAGGCCCTGGGTGGGACAGTAGGTGCTAAAGAAGCACCACAACCCCCACCAGGCCTCCTTTTATCTCCTGGAGGGTCACACTTCCAGCTCCTGTAAGAGGAGCCCAGACCGCTCATGTGGACAAGAGATCCCATAAGATCCAATCAACATCCCACCAGGAGCAGACACCTTCATTAAACACAAAGTCTAGAATAAAAAGAATAAAAATAAAAGCCTTAGAAAGAATAAAAAATAACCCACCAGACGGCAAACAAGTCCATCCAAATGGGTTTAGAGGTCTCAGGGTGGAGTCTCCTCCTGAGGAAACACTCCATCTGAGTTATCCTCTTAACAAGTTCCACATCATTTAATTGTTTCATTAACCTTAAAAGGCTCTGTGTTAGAAAACAAACATTTATCTGACAAAGCAAATAAACAAGAGTTTATAAAGTCAGCTCATTCAAAACTTAAGCTAAGAAAAGCAGTTTAAGGTAATCCATCGTCACTGGTTTATTACTAACAATCAATAAACTAGTTCAATCTTCATGTTCTCTCTCTCTCTCTCTCTCTCTCTCACACACACACACACACACACGCGCGCACACACACACACACACACACACACACACACACACACACACACACACACATACACACACACACACACACACACACACACACACACACACACACACACACACACACACACACGAAAACTGGTTACATGGAGTTTACAGGTGGAGTACCACAGGGTTCAGTCCTTGGTCCATTGCTGTTTACTTCATATACAGTGGTGTGAAAAACTATTTGCCCCCTTCCTGATTTCTTATTCTTTTGCATGTTTGTCACACAAAATATTTCTGATCATCAAACACATTTAACCATTAGTCAAAGATAACACAAGTAAACACAAAATGCAGTTTTGAAATGTTGGTTTTTATTATTTAGGGAGAGAACTAAATCCAAATCTACATTGCCCTGTGTGAAAAAGTAATTGCCCCCCTTGTTAAAAAATAACCCAACTGTGGTGTTTCACACCTGAGTTCAATTTCTGTAGCCACCACCAAGCCTGATTACTGCCACACCTGTTTCAATCAAGAAATCACTAAAATATGAGCTGCCTGACACAGAGAAGTAGACCAAAAGCACCTCAAAAGCTAGACATCATGCCAAGATCCAAATAAATTCAAGAACAAATGAGAACAAAAGTAATTGAAATCTATCAGTCTGGTAAAGGTTATAAAGCCATTTCTAAAGCTTTGGGACTCCAGCGAACCACGGTGGGAGCCAGGGCTGTCGCGGTTGAGGAATTCCCCCTGCGGTGATTCAGGGTGGCTTAATATTGCGGTGTGCGATATTATTGCAGCACTGTTTTTATTGCAGTACTATCTAAACATAATGTTTATACATTTAAAAAAGGTTAAAAATTGCCGTGCCTTCTTTTATAACACTTTACTGAATGCAGATCAAAGCGCAGTAACAACACAGATCGCAGTAACGTTTGTTTCTCCGACAGTCGGAGTCCGACTGAACTTAAAAACAACAAAATTCAGGAGAAGGTTAAACTTTTAAATGCAAATTTGGCTGCAGCATCTAACAAATAAGAAACAAGTCCCCATTTTGTTTAGCTGTTTAAAATCAAGCATAAAAAATGACATGTACCGGGCACAGGGCACTATCATTTCACTTTCACACACACACGAATGACGGTGATTTATAGCTCGGTCACGTCCTTGTTGCCCACAAGGAAAACCAGCATGTTAACCATATACGGTTTGAGAGAGGATCTGAGAGGGGTGGCAACATTTGCAGCAACACTGAAAACCCTCTCGGACGGTGCGCTCGTTGCACTAACGCACACGTACTTGCGTGCGACTCTGGCGAGCAAAGGGAATCTCTCCCGGTTGTTGCTCCACCATGTCAGGGAGTTTTCTTTAGGGTGGATGCATTCCTCCTGCAGGTAGTGAGTGAGCTCCAGCTCGGCTCAAACTCTCTTCGGGACGGTTGCAGAAGCAGTGCTTGTCCGGGACTTCAGAGGGTCTCCGAGCGTTTATTTATTTATTTATTTATTTTGCCGCTGGTGGCAGCTCTGTCTCGGCCAAGGACTCTGGCTGCGCAGCAGCTGACATACTGAAAACCAAAGTGCTCCCAAAGGAGCGAAGTAACGTTTCGTTTTGATACCAGTGCAGCCATCCTTCTCAACATGCATCATTGAGTTGAATCAAGTTCGGTAATCGCGGTGGCCCATGATGCAGCGCGGTGGGCTTCTTCATATTGCAATATTTCATTTTTGCGGTTACCGTGACAGCCCTAGTGGGAACCATTATCCACAAATGGCAACAACATGGAACAGTAGTGAACCTTCCCAGGAGTGGGCGGCCGACCAAAATTACCCCAAGAGCGCAGAGACAACTCATCCGAGAGGTCACAAAAGACCCCAGGACAACTTCTAAAGAACTGCAGGCCTCACTTGCCTCAGTTAAGGTCGGTGTTCACGACTCCACCATAAGAAAGAGACTGGGCAAAAATGGCCTGCATGGCAGATTTCCAAGACGCAAACCACTGTTAAGCAAAAAGAACATTAGGGCTCGTCTCAGTTTTGCTAAGAAACATCTCAATGATTGCCAAGACTTTTGGGAAAATACCTCGTGGACTGATGAGACAAAAGTTGAACTTTTTGGAAGGCAAATGTCCCGTTACATCTGGCGTAGAAGTAACACAGCATTTCAGACAAAGAACCAACAGTAAAATATGGTGGTGGTAGTGTGATGGTCTGGGGTTGTTTTGCTGCTTCAGGAACTGGAAGGCTTGCTGTGATAAATGGAACCATGAATTCTACCGTCTACCAAAACATCCTGAAGGAGAATGTCCGGCCATCTGTTCGTCAACTAAAGCTGAAGCCAACTTGGGTGCTGCAGCAGGACAACGACCCAAAACACACCAGCAAATCCACCTCTGAACGGCTGAAGAACAACAAAATGAAGACTTTGGAGTGGCCTAGTCAAAGTCCTGACCTGAACCCTATTGAGATGCTATGGCATGACCTTAAAAAGGCGGTTCATGCTAGAAAACCCTCAAATAAAGCTGAATTACAACAATTCTGCAAAGATGAGTGGGCCAAAATTCCTCCAGAGCGCTGTGAAAGACTCGTAACAAGTTATCGCAAACGCTTGATTGCAGTTATTGCTGCTAATGGAGGCCCAACCAGTTATTAGGTTCAGGGGGCAATTACTTTTTCACACAGGGCAATGTAGGTTTGGATTTTGTTCTTTCCGTAAATAATAAAAACCATCATTTCAAAACAACATTTTGTGTTTACTTGTGTTATCTTTGACTAATGGTTAAATGTGTTTGATGATCAGAAACATTGGCTGTGTCTCAATTCAGGGTCTGCGTCCTTCGAAGGACCCAGCCCACCCCGCCGACGTGGGCTGGGTCCTCCGTCGGCCGGGTAGACCGGATGTTAACGGCTGTGAATTTGGACAGGCCTAGCCTTCATGCTCCTAGCTCTCCCTCGGCGAACGTTCCGTCGCCTAGCAACCGTGGAACCGCTGAGCAGAAGGGAGAAGGAACTTTAAACGATGGAGCTCGAAGTTTTATTTAGATCTTTAATCATTTCCTTGACTGTTGGAGAGCTAATTTGGAGAAAATACTTTTGACTAGCTGAGCCTGAGCAAAGATGTGATAATAGTGTTTAATACTTTCTAAGGGTCTTAATTTGACCAAAACCGATTTATCACCTTTTAAGACTTTTCAAGACCCAGCGGATACCCTCTAGTAAACAATTCTCATTTGCAAACCAAAATAAAATTCAAGAGTTTAATGCAGAACTGATTTTATTTAGATATTTCTTTTATATGTACTTGTTTAATCTTTCTTAACCATTTTTTCTAGCAAAGTAAAACGCTGTCAAAGTTCTCCCTTCTCTCCTGGGCCCTCTGCTGCTCTGCCTCCCTCTGCAGCCTCATGTCCTCCCTGATCAGCTCCAGAAGCTGGTCATCGCTGTCACCTTCTCCTGGATGCCCATTTTCTCCAGAATAGTCTTAACAAACATGTAAGAACAGAAACAGAAAGAGAAAAAAGGACAACGGGTTATTCCTTTCATGTTTTCGCAGAAAAAAATAAACTCAAACGAGTTTTTAAAATATGAGATGTTATTGTACCTCCATGCCACAGCCGTCGAATACTTTGCTCCAGTGATCATGTGGTCCATCTTTGCCCTAAGCTTAATAAATTACCTGGTTTTCTCTTTTGTCCCTAAAATACAAACTTCTATTAAAATCAGGGGGAAACGTAGCGGGAGAAGTACAACACCGAGCGGCCGAACATACGAGCCGAGACCGCAATACAAGCACTTTTACTGTTACATTTCTAACTAAAATAACGTTCATGTATCACAAAAAGTCCTTAACCTAACAGTTTTCAAGTTTATACTGACATTTATATGCGCAATCCTCTCCAACAGCTCCCGCTTCACTGTCCGCCATTGTTTTTAAGTTTTTCTGCCGGCCGGCCCGCAAGGCATCTTGGGAAATGCTACCTATTGAAGGATACACCGGACCCATCCTTCATTCAGGCGAAAAGAAGGCCGCATTCGTCGACCGCATTTGAAGGAGTCTTCGAATTGGGACAGGCCTAGTCGCGGCGCTGTGACGTAACCGGCCGACGAATCCGGCCGACGTAGGATGCAGACCCTGAATTGAGACACAGCCACTTTGTGTGACAAACATGCGAAAGAATAAGAAATCAGGAAGGGGGCAAATAGTTTTTCACACAACTGTACACTCACCGTAAGGATTATTAGGAACACCACACTAATATGGTGTTTGATCCCCTTTCACCTTCAGAACTGCCTTAATTCTACGTGGCGTTGATTCAACAAGGTGCAGAAAGCATTCTTTAAAAATGTGGGCCCATATTGATAGGATAGCATCTTGCAGTTGATGGAGATGTGTGGGATGCACATCCAGGGCATGAAGCTCCCGTTCCACCACATCCCAAAGATGCTCTATCGATTTGAGATCTGGTGACTGTGGGGGCCG